AGTACGTGGTTTCTATGCACAAGTACACTTCTTTTTAAAAGAAAGCCTTCCCTAAAATCACTGATATTTCCTACCACCTTATTATTGAGCTACATGGAAAGGAGAAAGAAAAAAAAGAAAAAAGATGCTTATATAAATGTACAAGCTATTGATTAAGAGTCATGCAATTGCTATTAGATACTACCATCAGATTCATTTCTCAGTGTTGCTTGCCTTTTATGTTTTCCCCCATCTGTCCTGTACTTTGTATTATATTTTAGATAATGTGAGCAAATCAACCACAAACGATTTCAACTGTCTTATTTTTAGGCCACATTCTAAAGTAGAACAGTGCTGAGGTCACTTTGCTAGGAACTGTCCTGCAAACAACTTTCTTGGGACTTCCTGCACATTAGCAACAAGACATCAGTAAAAAATTGATGTTTCTACACAGAAAGTTTTAATTTTCTTCAACCAAAGAAGACTAAAAAATGCCTCTCCTCTATCTGCCAGGCTTTATGTTTCCCAAAAGCAATTCAAGAGACCGCTAAAGCAGAAAGTTAGTTCATATGAAAAACATACTGTTCAACTCTCATGTTTCAGAGTGATAAAGTATTCTGTCTGAAAACAGGTTATTTTCAGACACTAATTAAATTTAGATCTTTAAACTTCTTGATGAAAAAAAAGATACCATTTCTGCAAAAAGCACAATAGTTTTTGTACAAAATGAAAGTATTAAAAAATAATAATTTCAAGGAAAACTCACTTTCCTTACATTTCTTTAAAATTTATTCATTTTCTTTATTTTTAAATAAAATTATGCTTATACTACCCCCAAAAAATCTTTCTTTGGCTAATGTAGATCACATAACAAATACAATTACTGTGTGCAGTCTTTGACCTCTATAACCATCTTATTCAAGTACACTCAAGTATAGCAGAGGCTACAGATGATGTCTTGTATCATTTGCCTGTGAATATGATTGCTGCTCATCTGAGAACAGTTACTCCCTTGACTTCAAACGACCTTTTGCCCAATGGTATCCAGTAACTTAGTGAGGCTTTTGCTCTTTCTACATTCCTATTCCACTCATGAGAGTGGAATCAGAGCTCTCTTTTAGACAAGAGCACAGAATTTTTGAAACACTAATAAGAAAATATCCTGGTTTAATTGCACTGAGTCTTGGAATAAATAATTGAGAATAGTTTTGCATCTTTTTGATTTTATGACTGATTTACCACACCCTTAGAAGACAGAAGCTACAAAGCCTGACGCATCTCAGGAAGTGCTTAAATGAATTTACAGGCAGGAGACAGCACCATGTCCTGAGTCTCTGTGATGAAGACAACTCATCATTCTGTCAGGTCCTAAGGCAACTTGAAATGGTGATTCCAGCAACACCTACTTGCTCCATTCCTATTACAGCAGGGATTTTCAATTATCCAGAAACACCAGCCCTGTTTCTGGCTAGCAGGGCACAGACACAACTGACACCACACTGCACTCTCTCAGAAGTCCATAAATTAAAAGTAGACATTGCTGATTACATAGAGCTTCACACAAATTACATATTCACAAGACCAAATTTATTTTCTATGAAAGAAGATTGTAGGATTACTACAAGAGTCACAAGAGAGCACCTGTAAGAACAGACACCTTTTAAAAGGCTATAGACTGATTCTGAGGTAGGAAATTAGGTTGATATGTTGAAATGGAACCAAGATATGACCTTCTCAGCAGCTGAGGAAGGACAGCTTAAAGTGGACTAAGCCAGTGATTATAAGGCTTGTTGTAGCATCCTCTTAGGCTGTAACAGAAATTGAAAGAATCCAATCTGCTTCTTGTTCGTACTTCAGTTTGGGGAATCATGAAGACCTTATTTAACTATACGTACTTGCTGTTGATAAATTTTTCAGTTGTCTCTCAGGGAGAAAAAGAAGGGGTTGTTTAAATGTAATTGTTTAGTGGAATGTCCACCTGCTTTCAGATTTAGAATGGAGACGCAAGGAGAGAGATTTTTTCTCACAAGCTACTGGAATTTAAAGAAGTTATTTTGCATTTCTGTTGTAATAATTGGCAATTTGTTGCAGATGTTTTGAAGAAAATATAGAAATAGTAAGAGTTAATTATATTAAAAAAATGACTCCAAATATATACCATTTAAAATTTTCAGAAGAAGGCAACAAACAGAATTTCTTGTCTTTAAAATGTACTTTTCCTGTTTGTTGCTGAAAGCACTGCAACTAAAATGTAAAAATTTGAAACTGAATAAAAAACTGAAATGTATTTTAAAATTACAATGAAAGTTATGTGTTGAGTGGAATTTCCAAAAGACATCTCCGTCTGAAGCTGTTGTCAACAATTCTATCACTGCTCTTTTCTAATAGGCAGAAACTAATCAGCATGGGAAGGCACAACCATTTTATGCTATTATGAAGATTTGCCAGAATGACAAAAGAGGAATATACAGAGAAAAGTCACAGTTCAAGGATGATTGTTTTCTAGTTAGGTGAGAGTAAAATGAGTAAAGATCACCTTCCTGTTATGAACCCAAACCAAATGATCAAGACAATAAAAAGTTGTATTTTTTCCCCCACCTTACTCAGCTCCCTACCCAACTTCTTGCAGGCTTGTTTTACTCACCACAGTCTGGAACTCCTATGAAACTGCACGTGGAATGCTAGAAAACTTTGAAAATTTTCATTTGTTTTCCATGCAATGACATGCACACACACAAAAAAAATCTGTTTTTATTTACAAAGTTCTAGTGTCTACATTTTAGACCAAATCCAGAAGGAAAACAAGAATAAGCTCTTTTGTACATACATGCTAGTCTCTCATAATACTTTCTTATCCTCCTATTGTGCTCATTATTAAGTTTAAAAGGCATACACTCAGGGATGTTTCAGTCAATTCTGTGAGCTCAGAATTGTCTCCAAATCTGTTGTTATCCCTGACAGTTTTTATTTGATCTTGTAGCTAGGCCTATAGAGTAGGGTTGTACCTGAACAGTGGACTAAAGTCAGACACCTGGCTTCACAATGACACCCTAAGGTCATAACAGAACACTGACATGTTACACTATGGCACTCAGACATTACTATTTTCTTGCCTCCCATTGATATTTGCTCCTAGTATTACACTGGGCACTATCCCTTTTAAAAATTATTTTCAGTATGTGGTAAGATTAAAGAATATCCATTCATCGTGGGGCCTTTAGTCTCAAAGTACTTATGTCTTAAAACATTGTTAATAGACATGTATGTAAGTATTATTTTTTTTCCTATCAAAATCAAATAAATCTAACTGCTTCAGAGTTTCAATTTCTACTGTGAAAAAACTTAAATCATTCAGCTAAAATGTATGATTTACCAAATTCAATGTCTGCACTATGAAGATCTGTTGAAAAAAAAAAAAAAAGGAATATTTTTGAGATATATTTTGCTTTTATTCAAGAATAGTCTCATGTTACATTAATACCTACTAATTTCTTCTTCCGATAGCATAGAAATTCATGAGAAAAAAAATACAATAGGAGCTCAGATAAATTCATTCATAAACAGAATAAGTCTCAGAATGGCTTCCAGACAAATTATACACAAGGATGTAACTAGAATGGATTGTGGGATTTATTTTATCCTATTTATCTATGTTTCAGAAGCTTAATTGCTAAGCAAATTGACCTGAAATTTCTTTGTACCTGTATTAATCATAACTACTAAATGTTTTAAGCACCTCTTGCAATGCAAAGGAATCACAATTTTCCTGCAGAAACAAGCCAGTGAAATGAATACGTTAGCTATGCTTCTTTTGTGTACATTCATTGAAATATCTTCTCAATGTGCCCAGCCATCATTACAAAACAAGAGCCACCCTTACGTTTCTGGAATAAGATCTTCTTTTCCTAAATTCAGACATGATGTACAGATTAGAAAATATTTTTTATAATCATCTTCCTGAAAAACATAAGCTAATGAGTTCTAGGAACTATGAATCTCTCCCTCTATTGAACAAAACAAACAAAAAACAAAGAAAGCATCTTCAAAAATAGCTTTCACACTGTGAAAAATACATGAACATGGACATGAACACAAACCAAGTAAGCAACAGTTACATCTTTTGTATTAGTCAGAGTAAGAGGCTGCTTTCACCTAACACTCTAAATCACTGCCTACCTTCTTGATACTATATACCTATTAGTTTTAGAAAAGAACCATTAAAAATATTTAATGTTATAATATTATATACTGTAATGTTATAATAACATTTGAGGGGGTAATGTATCATTAGCAAAGACATAAACAGGATCTAAGAGGAAAATACAAGGCCTTAACATATCTCTAGAAATTCTAGCCTCATAATAGAACATAAGGTAATACTCAGTGAGGACCAGTGAATCTTTCTTCTAAGGCTCACTCTGCCCATTATATGCAAAGCATTCTAATAAATGCCCTATTATAGGAGCGAAAGCTTCGGCACTGCATCTCAAAATTTACTGAAGTCTGTGGAGTTGCTCAAGGCTCAAAATCTTTTATGTGGCAATATGTACATAAATATAACTCTACATCATAGTACTTACCTGCTTTTTATAAAAGCTATTATTGTATTCATCATTTGGATCAGTCAAAATTCTGAGCATTTTACTTTTTGGACTGAAATATTTACGTACTGCTTACATTGTGGTGAATGTTAATTTTTGAATTAGGGTTTCAGCAGTAAGGTATCAGGATTTCGATGTGAGAAAACACAGGGTCTGAGCACTGATATGCAGTGTCTCACAGTATAGTACAGGGCGCTGAATTTATTCTTCTGTACATCTTAATTACTTGTCAGACAGCTGACATATTAGTTGATATACTGGTACATAAAATCAGTAATATTAGAAATATAATGACATGTGTACTCAAATGCATTTAAATCTGTTCCTGTAGGTCTGATTACAGACATACTAAATATCTAAATAGAAATGTGTAGTATATATTTATACAGGTTAATGCCAAGACAGGAAAGAAAAACTTACCATTCTTTTTATAGAACATGATTTCTCCTTTGAATTCTACTTTTTCTTCCAAGGATTTCTCAATCTGAAGGATCATCTGCTCATTTGTTTCAGCACCAAGTAAAAATTTACAGCTGCAGCTCTTCTGCATGACTTCAGTTCGTGCAAATCCAGCAAGATCACAGAAGCCATCTGAGCAGTAAACAATAGGGAATCCCTTAGCCACCTGAGCATTTGCAAGGATGAAGTTACTATCTGTAGAAGAATATAAAAGTAAAACATGAATTACTGTCTGAAGTCAGTGTCTTTTGGCATAATACCTCTTTCAGCTTTGTAGGAAGACACAAATAGATGTACATATTAAAAAAAGTCCCATCTGTCTGAAAACATGATGTTTTCTCATGTACCATCAAGCCTCACTAGATCCTTAAGCAATAATTTATAATTAACACCATGATGGGTATTAGCACATCCAAACAACACTAGAGCAGAATGATGATGAAGTTTCGAAGGTGCTACATTATGCTTCCTCTCCGATTCTTCCCCAGGCTGAGCAGATACAGGTAGATTAACTTAAAAAAAAGCTAAGTATGTTCAAAATGTATTTCAGCAACACTCAAATTAATTTCATTCATGCAATTTTGCAAGGGAATCCTTAAAATAACAAGATATGTTATGGGGCTACATGAAATCTTTTTAGACTTTTGTTTAGACTTTTTTTTGAGGAGGAAGGGGAAAGATTTTATTCAAAAGCCCCATCTTCCCAGAGCTTCATTATTCTTTTCTCATATGGCACAAGGGAGTCACAGTTCTGTCAAACCTTAATGCATTTTATACTGTTCAAGGGCATTTAAAATGCAACTAACTTACTATAAATTCAAGAATGATATTTTGACATGGATATCAGTCACCAAAAAAGGAATTTTTAATTTCAGTTCAAATCTTTACACAAATTTTGCAGAATAATGATTCATATCCATACCCTGTGGAAGTGTCTTTGTTGTGCCATAAACACTCTTCCTCAGCTTACATCTAAAGCTGTAGCACTGTACATTATTTTTCAATTAGCACAGAGCCATTTTCTAGATAAGTTCTTAGAAGAAAGAAGGAATGTGTCCACTTCACAGTGAGGATGGAAAGAATATTTTTTGTCTATTGTTTATTCAGGAATATTTACCTTAGAGCTTGCTACCAAGAACAGCCTAGTCCCAAGACAGATATTGCTCATACTTTCAAATTATATGCATGTGATTTGCACGTGTATTAAGGGAAAATACTAGTAACTAACTGAGTGTAAATTGATAAATATGCATAAATTTGAACAGAAAAAATAAAAGGTATATTTTCATGAAATAAATCAGATTGCTACGCCCTATCTCCATAGAGGGATATTATTCATGAATGGTGAGGGAACATACAGGATGCATAAATAAAATAGCACAAAAATTAATCTTTTCCAGACTTGCAGAACAAGTGTTCTACATCCATCAGATTCAGTTCTGTTACTCTTTAATTCCTCGGGGAATTAAATATTAAGGCTGATGTTGTTCAGTGTTTTTAAGACAATACTTAAGTTTATGAAGTGATTTATTTGCTCATTAGACAATGTCTGTTACTCACTTTTCGCTCAAATATAATTAAAGTCTTTCAATAAATGATTGTTAAAATAAAATAGATTTTGCTCCTTTACCAAATACATATTTTAAAATCACATTCTAGTTCAGTACAGTACTTGACTTTACCTGTCATTTTTATTTACCTAACTAGGGAGGAAATATCATTACCAGTCATGCACTGACATACTGCTTCCCCCATCAACACAAAACTAAATCCCCACACTGCCAAAATAAATAAAATCATATGCTTGCACTGCAATTTAATGATAGCGTTACAGTGTAAGACCTGCAGATCCTACACCCCAAGCACATTTGTAGCTAAATTAATTTACTCCTCAATTTCTTATTGTCTAAAATGTACTTATGTAATGGAAAGGATTGTTTTTTTGTTTTGTTTTGTTCTTTAATTGCTATCATCATTTAAAGTTTGAAATACAAGAAACATAACATGGAACACTGAAAGGACAGAAAGTATAGAAATGATGCTCTATGGGTGTAAAAGTGAATATCATTATAAAGTATATTATTTTATGAAAAACTTAAGATGGCCAAACTTCTGCCATTTACATCTAGAAAACCAAAAAAAGTTTTGGCAAGTTTAACTTTTGTAACAGAAAACAATTTACTTTTTAAAGACCAAAGCTGGCTAGAATAAGAAATAATATTTCCAATAAACACAGCAGGTATCTGGTAAGGCTTGGGAGACTAATTTTGTTCCACATTTTGATAACAGATAACAGAAAATAATTACTTTTAGGAAAACACAGATAACTTCCTGTTCTGTTTTTTTTTTGTTGTTGTTATTGCTGTTGTTTGGTTTTTGGTTTTGTTTTGAGGTTGAATTTAAAATCTGGTAACTAATGATGTCTGACTAATAAACTAGTAAACTGAAAGAAATATTTAAATCATTTATTGAAGCAATTCCTTATCATATTTAACAATCAAGCAACACGTTTTTGTCCAATAGTCATCTTCATTTCACTGAATCCTTAAGTAATATTTTTAAGAGACTATTATCATTTGTTTAATACAGAAAGTAAAATTTCTCATACTTACCTTAAAATGTTCTTATGTGTAATTTATTTGCTTTTCATAATTGGAGTCTTTAATATCACTTGCTATTGATAATGCAAATAAAGCACCATAACACATTGAAGAAAAAAAAACCACCAAAAACACTCAAGAATCAAGGGTAAAATATGTACCAATCAGGCTTCAGTTTCACGCAAATAACAAACAAAGCATTTAGTTCAATGTTCTGCAGTGCTTGCTAGATCTTAAGTTTCAGAGTAGGAAGAATGAAATTTTATTTAGACTAGAATTTATCGGAAATGTATAGACTAGAAGCCAGCACTTTTGCTTATCTTTGAACAGTAAGAGAGCTGCAGTGGGTGATATAAACATAGCAGTTTTCCTGTTTTCATATATATTCATATGTTGCTTGCAACACTTCTGTAATAATAACAAGAAATTCAATTCCATACTGTTCTTTCTTAGAATTATCATAACGTAATGAATATTAAGTTATTTAAGTTGGTTGGATTTGATGATCAGGTGACAGTATTATACTACCATAAGGACTTCCTAATTATTATTATTTTTTTTAGATAAGTAAATATCAAAGTTAAATTCCATACCTCTCCAGAAAATATGAATTGTGAGTCTTATGGACCCTTTCAGAATAGACTGACAAAACCACGAGTAGCTCAACTCAAGTGTTGTCAAGTGCTCTATATTTGTGCAAAGTAGATAAAATTATTCAAAATACTTACGCATTAGCTTCAGATAAAAATATATGGTTGCAGATTCAAGTCTGCGTATGACATATAAAGACTGCTTTTAAAAATGTTAAAGAAAGACAATTTGCATAGACACTACAAATTAAAGTTTTCCTTTAATAAAAAGACTGCAGAGATGGATGAATACCAAAGAGATGTTCCACAAGTATTCAGAACAATGTTAAAACAGATTTGTTTCAGCTAAAATTCATTTACATTAATTTTCTATAAAGATGAAACGACTTTTTCACATGACAGTTTGAAAGGAGAATGAATATTAGGAGCTTGCATGCTCGTATTGTCTTTGGAAATAGGACAGACTGAAGTAGATAGGACATTGATCAACGGAAGACTCATATGGTTCCCAGAAATCTCTGCCAGATACACAGCATAAATTCAAGGACAATTAAACAAGCTGAACAAGAACTGTGTTAGCTTCACTTTCAATCATATGCTGGCACAGAGTTGCCCTGTTTCAATGACTATTCAGATGCTCAAAAATTGTAATCTAAGAAACGCCAATTTTTTTATCATGTACTATACAAACCAGAGGGACAGGTTTGTTAAAAATCCCATGACAGTGTTTTAGAATTGAGATAATTAAAGGAAAAGGTTATTATGCAATTCTCTGCTCATAATTAATGCACACAATTTACGTGACTGTTTGTAATGACACCGTGTAACATTTAAACTCAGCACTCCCTTGATAAATCTTACTGTCATCTTACTTAGAAAAAAAAAGACAAAAAGGTTTTCTACTTTAATAGCATAGCTGTGTCTGCTACGAATCTCATTGTTGTGCTTTCCCTGTTCCTGTAACTGCTCTTTTCCATCAAACTCCAGATGGTTTCTGCATGTCATCCTCTCTTGGAGTGAAGATAACATCTATCTGACTACTTGTGCAACCAAGCACAGCCAACTAGCATTCTAATTTTACATATTATATTATTTATGAAACATAAAGGGAAAATAACAAAAGAAAGTAAGTCCCTAGCAATGCAGAAAGTTACATTCACAAACCAGAGGCTAACACAGACACTATAGAATTGGAAAAAGTCCACTGTTATTCCAGGTGAAAGGAGTTATTACACATCAATTTGATTCCATAGTTTCTCCACAGGGAACTTAACAAGAGAACTCTCATTTCAGGTTCAAACTGCTGCTAAAGAGAGCATGATCTCATTAACAGTTGTTAAATATACCTGAGTGAATAAAATAGGATATGAAAGCATTTAGTTTTATGTCAGCACATTTAGATGCAAGTGAGGTTTAATTGGAGTTCAAGCAGGTTTACAAACTACTATGCTTTGAATATGACTGAGATAAAAACTGATACATTTCCAATTACTAAAATCCCTCATGAAAATCTCAGCAAAGTTAATTGGATCACTATTGTGAGTTAAGATTTATCAGATCTAGGTGAATCAAAATGAAATAAAGGTGTTTATTCTGGTACATCTCACAGTTTTCACTGTAAAAGAAAAAATAGTAAGTACACATATATGCATATATACATCTCAGTGAATTTTCATATGTCACTCTGAAAGTAATGTCTCATTTCCATGGAAACTACATCAGATACAAAGAGAACAATAACACTATTTGATAGAGCACATTCTCAGCTACAATATATATATATTTTTAACCTAGTCACATGTATTAGACACGCATTTTCACCAGTGATGAGCAACAGCCTGCATTATGCAATTGTACAAGAGCTGCACTGAAAGTAGTATTTCTATTTTATTATGTTAGCTCATTATTTCAGTGGTGGATGGTATAGCAGTAGAGGTTGAACCTTCCCAACATTTTGTAGCTGTGTGAAAAATGGCAGCAGAGGGACAGTCTGACAGAACAGTGTCTG